GAGCTCCTTTACAGTAAACAATTGAGTAAATATTACATCTGCTAGTTTCACTGAGTTTTTTATTAATGTATTTAATACTGTAAACCTGCCTGATGTAAAGTAGTCTTCACTGTACTCTGTTCAGATGCTTTTGAACAGTAATTGCTGTTATTTTCACCACTGTCTTTTTCGTTGTGTGTTTACTTTGTTTCATGCAGCACATATTTTAGACTTTTATCTACATGTGGGCTGCATTTACAAACACAGCTCAGGAATTTTAAACCTTTTAAAACCATTAACCAAAAAACTAAAGACTTTAGTATATTGGAGTTTTATAACATACCAGGCACAGTTATCTTAAAAACATAGCAATAACAAATTAATTTATATACAAAATTAATTGATTTACTTATTTAAAATTGTATAATGATACAATAGTTCAGCCCATAACCAAAAAAACTGTCTGTGAGAATATTAGACACTTAAAGTATACCAGGCACTCTTTATCGTAACATCACAGCAATAACTCATTTATTTTAATACAATTGTAATGCTGTTGTATTATGATTGTATTAAATACAGCATTTGGAACCCGTAAGCAAAATATAAAACACTTTGCTGTGAGTATTTTGGAGACTGAAAGCATATCAGTCACTGTTATTGTAAAATCGGAGCAATAACAAAATTGATATACTTATTTTAATACAATTATAATTGTATATAATACAATATTTGGATCTTATTAACCCATAAACAAAAGCAATGAATTTTGACACTCTAAGTATATTGGAGACTTAAAGCATTCCAGTCAACTGTTTTCATAAAATCGCAGCAATAACAATATTAATACATATATTTTAATACAATATTTGGAACTTTTTAAAACTATTACCAAAAAAAAAAAGTGAGAAATATTGTCTCAGTGATGCATTGCTGCCAGACATTATTTGTATTTATTTTTATTCTTTATTATTACTAGAAAATATGTTGTTTAAACGTCATAATATCTCATTATTAGGACAAAATGTTTTTTAAAGAAATAAAATCTTATTATGACAAACAAGACATTTTAATAATAAAATGTTCACTTTGTTCATCTTAGTTAATGAAAATAATTCATTGTTAGTTCCCGTTAACTCACGGTAACTAATGTTAATCAATATGAATATGAATGTTAATGACGCATTAGTAAATGTTGAACTATGATTAATAAATGCTGCATAAGTATTGTTCATAATTAGGTCATGTTATACATTAACTAATAAAACCTTATTGTAAATTTTGACCAAAAATGATGTTTGGGGCAACAATGCACAGCTGTATTTTAGACACTTAAAGCATACCAGCCCCGGTTTATCACATCAAAACTTAAATGTTGATTTAATTTCTCTCTCAAACTACGCTGTCAATCTCAAGTATGTTTCTGTAAATATTCTACTGCTGTCCCTTTTGTCTGTACTATACAAACACCATTAGCAAATCATTGCAATAATAACAATCAGTACAAGAGTACATGAAATATCAGGGAAATGTACAGTATAACAGTTTTTCTCATTTGGTTTGGCTCATTTCTTGAATCAGGAATTAAAGTCTCATCACTCTAAGATTGTTTTGTAAAACAGTTGTTTTGTCTTGCAGTTCAGCACAACACTTTAGCTCACTTGCAAAAGCTCATATCTTTCCCAAAACTGTTCTCTCGTGTGTCAAAACTAAATTTCCTTCTCATTTAAACAGTCAGAGCCCCCAAAATCCTTTGTCACTTTGGCAATGCGTAAGCACAGCAAGTCAAAATGTTTAGCTGTTTTGTCACTACCAGTGGTGTAAAGTAACTAATTACAAATACTCAAATTACTGTAAATAAGGAGTTTTTCTCAGGAGTTGTAATTTACGGAGTAGTTTTAAAGATGTGTACTTTTACTTTCCCTTGAGTACATTTTTAGTACTTTCCTTCAACCTGCAGTCACTACTTTATTTTTTCTTGTCTGTGGGTATTAAAACAATCAGTCCTGTGAGTCCTGTCCAATTAAATCACACATTGAAAGTAAATCGCATCATAATGAACTACCCAAGAAATGGGTGCTTTATAATTGCAGCAAACTGTTTGGAAACATTAAAATCGTCCAAGAAAATGTCTTAAAACTTTACACGCATTGACCCGGAGGCTGTTTAGATGCATATCACTGATGAGAAGATGACTGATGTTTACTGCATGATGACCGAAATGGCCTTAAACACCCAGCACGCACAGGACATCACCATGACCCCAGATTGACATTGTACCCCATCATCATGGAGAAATTGCGATTTTTTTTTTTTGGAAATGTAAATCAGGTTGACGTCAGAACTCAATGTCGGGCCAACGTCAATGTCCAACCTAAAACCAACCAAATATCAACGTCTAATGATGTTACAGCCTGACGTTTGTTTGGACATTACCATTATGACGTCTATCAGACGTTGGATAAATATCAGCATTTGATGTCAATATGATGTTGGTTTAAGATGTTGGATTTTGGTCACTTTCTAACAACCTACTGTAAAATCAACCAAATATCAACATCATTTATTGTCAATATAGGACATCAAAATAATGTTATCCTTAGACGCTGGTTAGACATTGAATTTTGGTCACCTGACATCATGACCTAAATATAACCAAATATTAACGTTTTATAACGTTATGTGCTTGCTGGGCAATAACTTGATGCACTACAGAATGTTACGTTTACACACACATACACACGCACAAATTACATGTAAACGCATCAGCTATTTATAGCATAATACTCAGTATTCGCTACTCTTGCAGTACTTTTGAAAGGGCTACTTTTTACTCATACTTTGAGTAATATTTACAACAGATTCTTTTACTGTATTTTCACTACATTTTTGGCCAAGTAATGGTACTTTTACTTGAGTATGATTTTTTTAGAACTCCTTCCACCACTTGTCACTATCGCTGAGAACCACTGAAATATCCCTCATATCCACCTTTCAGTCTTAGCCAAGTTTTTGAAACTGGTTTCTCACTCTGTTTTTTTTTTTTTTTTTTTCTTTTGACAAAATGCAATTGTGTATAAAACTAAATGAAATAAATTTCTAAAAAGAATTTCAGTTTAAGAGTAGCCTCCAAAGTTTGACATCCCACAATGCACTCATACTGCCAAGGAAATTGGAACCACTATCAGTCACACACAAAGTAATTTCCATACATCAGAATAAAACAAAATAAACTGTAATATAAACACACAAACAAAAAACAATGAAAATGAAATGCCGCCCACAGTGCTTGATTGCTCATCTGAGATGTGTGAAATTCCTCCTTTGTTAGTCAAATTCCAGTTTCACCTGACTGTCAGTTGCTGTAATAAATGTATCAAATGTTCCACATATTCATATATGGTATTCATGGTATTATGTTCTTGACTAATTTTGACAATTGAACAGACAATTGTGCATGTGATGACTTATAC